AATAATACCTGCATAACTAATGCTTGCATTACTAACTCATGCATTACTAATCCATGCATTAGTAATACACCTTATTCCGCACTATTCTTATACACCCTAACAAACGATCCCAAAGTGTTCAAAGCGCAATTGCATTCCTTTGCTCTAAGCTAATTCTGAAATTTGAATGAGCAAATAATATTCTAATAGTAATTCACAAAATTTGCTAGGAAATTGTCTAATAAAGTTTTAAGATCGAAATACTCATCATTCAAAATGGGCCGTGCAATGATAAACCTCTGTTTTGATATTTATAACAAGTAAGGATAAAGCTTCTTCATGTTTATCTCAAAAGGGAGGTACTTTTATGCTTAAAGATACATATGAAGGAAAACATTTTGCATATAAAATGTTTGGAAAATCATCTTTAGAATTATTTTCTAGTGTTTGGTTAAATGAAAAAAGAGTTAATATATGGTACTCGTACAAGGAGTAGTATAAGATACAAAGATAGTATTTTGATGATATTTTTTACTATTAAAGGGTGCCAATAATAATCAAACAAAATGATTGATAAGAATATTGAAATTTTTATAAAAGATTATGACTTGTGTCTCTAAGTAAAGGAAGTCATTCTTTTATAGTTTTGGTCGAAAATACTTTTCTCACAATTAAAAAATAATAAAACACACAAATATTCAGTATTCCATCTCATATCATTATAAAAAGTATATTAAAAACTTAAATCACTATCATCGTTAAGCTGTTCGAGTGTGATGTTATGTTCGAACTGAGTTTGATAATAATAATAATAATAACTGATCACAACAGCAAGTCGTTGTAGTATAGTGGTAAGTATTCCCGCCTGTCACGCGGGTGACCCGGGTTCGATCCCCGTCAACGGCGTTTTTTTTTTTTTTTTTTTTTTATTTTTTATTATTATTATTACGATTGGTTGATGTTTTCTCATTCCTCCAAGGCACAAGTAGATAATTTGCTGTTCTATCAACTAGGAAACTTTTTCCTCACTATATACAGAGAATATGTGCCTTCTCTTCAAGTCAATCTTTATATTTTCCTTCTTCCTTCTCTATTTTGGTTGAAAGGACAATTTCTAAAGTCAATCTTAATGCACTGGAACTTTTGACTTTGGATTTCCATCCAGTAACTAATTTCAGTTTCGTTAGACGAATAAGTGCGAAATGTAGAAAATTCCTAGTTTTAGAATACCTAGTTTGTCACTGGAACAAATTATTTTATTGAAAACTGAATGAAACCAGTATAAAAGGAGCGGAATGAATATTCAGAATTTGTACATCAATCCCAACTAATTTGGAATTGGAGCGCAGTTATTTTTGAATTTTTTAAATAGTGTTTTTTGATGGATTTTGTTAAGGTCTTGAAGAAAGAGTTTAATGAGCTAAATTAACTCTTGACTCACCTCGTTGTTTGAGGAAATGTTGAGCTATAGTTCGTAATTGACAAGCCATATTGGAGGGAGTTCGATCTTGTCTACTTATGATGATTCCCACTCAACAAGTATAACTGGTGGTGCAACATTTATATTGCTTTCACTAGTTGAAGTATCAAAACCTTTCGACTAAAAAACCTTAAAACAAGAAAGAAAATATTGTACCATCCTCCAGATGTTTTCATCCATTGGATATACCAAAAATATTCATGATCGGAAGGAATATTTAAGGTAACCTTTGTTGGAATTAAGAGAAGATAGGATTCAGCTAACCAATTGTGTAAATGCTAAAATATAAGACCCTGGGGCTTGATCGAGTGTTAAGAGCGCATGGTGTGATGTGTGAATTAGGTGCATGTCACGGGTTCGAATCAATATCTGGTATTTAAGTGAAGAAAAAGAAAAGGATGAGCCTATTTTCTATCGAGTCTAGAACATGCACCAGCTGATCTCTTATTTAATTTAAAAAAATTCTACAAAAAATGATTAAAAGCACCATCGGTGCTTGCTCCATTAGGATCTGGAGGTGTGCAGATAGTAGCGCCTTGTTGGAGTGCAGATCCAATAAACATTCTAAGGCTTTTGTTTCAAGAAGCCCGTCCAGTTCAGTTGGTAGAGCGTAAGGCTCTTAACCTTGTGGTCGTGGGTTCTCGAGCCCCATGGTGGGCGTTTCTTGTTTTTTTGCAATAATCAAAACATCCATTTTTCTATTAGGGGCAATATCTTAATCTTCAAATTCTAAAATATAATTCATCTTTGGATATAATTCAATGGATGAAAAAACATCCATTTTTCTATTAGGTGCAATATCTTTACCTTAATCTTCAAATTCTAAAATATAATTCAATATTTATTGTCGCTTACTGTGTTAATTATGTAGGGTGTCGATAAAAACAACAAGAGAGCTCTCTAGTCTCTGACCAAAGGTTCAGAAAGGGGTTCAGAGTATTTGTATGTTTATAAAAGTTTTTCATTAATGTTAGAATTTGAAGACTAAGATAAATTGTTTCCAAATTTAAAAAGGGGTCATTTTTTTTGAACGGATAAAAAAAATAAGTTTACATAAATTGGAACGAAGAGAATATAAATAGCTCTAATTGAATTTTTCTCTCGTCCTCATTTTAACCTGTCTTTTTCTAAAGAAAACTTTAGTGGGGAAGGAACAATTCAGTTAAAGTTATCCACAAAGGATAAGTCCGTTTTAGACGGTTAGTCGGTCTACAAAACAATAGATAAGAAATTGAAAGCACGAGATTCCAACTGTAACATTTGTATTTGTCACCAATCTCACAAAATAGTTTTTAAGTATTTGAATGGGAACAGATAATGATGTTTGGTTTTGATTGGACAATGAATGAACCAAGAAAAGAACCAAACAACCCTTTCACGCGACAATTAAAGATAACAAAGTAACCGAAATAGTGTCAAAAAGAAGTCCCAAGAATCAAAAATATCTATAGATAAGGTCATCTTGAATAATACCCATAGAAGAAGTACAACAGTAACATCCAAATGTTCTGGCCAAGTCTTTTCACCTTATCAGAACTGACACTTTAACCACCAGAGAACTGAAAAAGACTCTTGTGGCCCTTAGTTGAACGTGGCTTCATCTCATAAGATGGAGGATCACGGCCGGAGCTAGCATAAAAAAAGTATGGGTTCGACAGAAACAATAACTTAGGGTGTATTTGGAAAATATTTTTTAATTTTCTCATGTTTGGTTGGTTTAAATGTTTTAGAAAATATTTTTCCTATCAACTCATTTTTTTCCAGTTGGAGGAAAATATTTTCCCTTCAGAAGGGAAAATATTTTTCAAAACTCCTTCTCAAGCTTTCCACCCTATTCTTTTTTTACCCTCACCAATCCACCCCACACCCACCCACCTAACCCCACCACATGCCCTCTCTTCAAAAAAGGTTTATTTTCGT